AAGTTTGGGCCTCCAAATCACTCAAGCAAATTCTATTTAAGTTCAGAAAGAGATTCAGATGGGGGTTGATGATTATTCAGTGCAAGAATCAGAGATTGCAAAGTCAGTTTTCAAGCTTCAACAGAAAATCGTGTTTTCAGATTTGGAGCTTTTCAAGGCAAATCAAGGTTTCTATTACCTTCAGCATAGTTCATTGAAGAGATCTGCACAAGATTGAAGCAAGAGTCACACTGTAACTGCCTCAATTTCAAGCTGCAAACCAGGTATGCACATTTCAAAATTGCCATAGTTTTAGGTTGATCTAGGTAGAATTGAACCGAGGTTAAGGTTTAGGAAGATGACTAGATCGTTTTAGGATAGGTTTTGTGAGGTTTGATGACAATTCGAGATGATGCACCATTTCTGTTGAGACTTGTAACTGCCTGATCCTTGAGGGTTAGTAAGATTTGAATAGTGTGTGATGATCCTTGAGAGGTGAGGATTAGATCCATAGCAAGAAACTGAGTTTTGGTGATGTTTGATCAAATGACATATTTTAGGATCTTGATCGTGTTTTAAAATCCAGTGAGAATTAGGAGAAACTAATGATGAATTTGAATTCAGGAAGAAAAATGGAGAAGAACAGTATAGGTTTGATGCATTGTAGTGTTGATTTGCTGACCTGTGAATCGTGCCTCGCTGGAGAAGACGACCAGAGGTCTTCTCCGGCCACCGCTGGTAATTCCCCCCTTTTCAGAGTTCAAATGGAGACGATGACTGAGGACCATTAGATTAGGTCTGAGACTTGACTTTGTAAGCTAATCCAATGATCCACGTATAATCCCAAAACGGTGTAGCTTCATTAATGCGCTGGCAGCCTTAGAGCGCGTTGGATTGTTTGACCGGTAGCATGATCCATGGGCCTGTGATTTTTCTGAGAGTTAATTCATTTTTAATTCATTTTTCTTTTTCTTTTATTCATTTAACTTGCAAAATTCATATTAAATTCATTTTTGATCAGAAAATTGTGGAAAAAAATATGAGTGTGATCCTCTGGTGATTTCTGATTTTTCTATGCTCTCATATTTCATTTTGGCTTGATTTTCTGTTTATGTGGTATTTTTCTATTTTTCTTATTTCTATAATTTTGGCATAATTCTTCTTCCTTCTTGCTGATTTTTGTTCTAAGGCCTAAAATAGAATTAAGGTGAGATTTTTTGCTGGTTGTTAGTGGACATGTTGATGACCCCTTAGGATTTATTTCATGATTTTTAGAGAACTTTAGGATTAGTTTTGAATGAAGTTCCCATGACCTTCCATTTTAGGGTTCCCCTTTGCACACATTAGGGTTTAGAATTTCTTTAGTGATTCTCCCTTTAGATTCAGTCCCTAACTTTTCCACCATAGGTCCCTAACCCTCTTAGGATCCCTTAGAAAATTCCCTAGAATTTTAGGACTTTATTTCATATTTTTCTTAGAATTAACAATTGGACTAGTTTTATGATGCCTCTAACATGACATTTCCTTTAGAATGACCTCAATGGTGACCCATAGCATGAAATAAATTTCCCATTTCTTTTGGATAGTGCTTTAGACTTGTTAGAGCTTCTGTATGCTTAATTGTAATGCTTGATTTGGTGTTTTGGTTTCCTTTTAGTAGCTTTCTTTGAGCTTGTAAGATTAGGGTTTAGGAAGAGCTTTAGATTTGATCCCTCTTTCTCCAATAAACATGGATTTCCTTGATTGCTTTCCATTCTCATCCAGTGATTCAAGGTCCCTATGTGGAAGCCTCATCCCTCCTTTAGAAGGATGTGTGACATATCACAAAAGGTAGAACCTTTGAGGATGCCTAGCTTGGATGTACGGTTGAGTGTCATGATGGATTCCCTTGGTTTCCATCATGCTTCCCATCATCATGCAATCATCTTGATGTTGATTATCATCCCTCTTGGTGGATAATTTGAAGCTTGAAGATGAAGTCTTCTCTTGAAGATAGCTTGGGCATGGAGATCAAACTATAGACTGTTGGGCTGCTTTACTGCTAGAAGATTGCTTTGCTGGTTTGCTGTTTTGTTTGATGTGCTTGTTAATTGATTGTATTTGTGTGACTACTTGTCTGGTGGGTTGCATTAGAATAGGCTTTCATGTAGTTGGTTTAGGCCTAAGTTCATTGAAAGGTTGAGCTTGGCTCTCTTTACTTGTCTGCATTAGAGGTTAAGTATGTCTCCCTCTACTTGTCTGTTACTGTTTGGCTTTGCTTGTTGGCTGAAGGTTGAGTTTGTCTCCCTTGCTTGTGCTTTGTGTTGCTTTTGCTTGTTTGCTCTAGAAGTTGAGTTTGTCTTCTTCTGCTTGTATTGTTGCATTGCATGCATTTTACTTACAGTTTTATTCTTTTAGTTATTTCTTTTGTTGTTGCTTTCCTTTGCCATGTTCCCCTAGGGACTCTGACTTCTCTTGTTCAAGAGAAGTTATGACAGACATTAGGGTTCTAACCGTGCATGATAACATTAGGTAGCTCCCTCGTAACCTCAATTATAGGATCAACTTTGCATGACAACTTTAGGATTGGATTAGTCCCCTTTAGTGCGTCCTTTCTCTTCTCATCTTCAAACAAATCAAAATACAGTAATAAAGGTTAATTAATGTCGTATGCTACGAGCCTTAAGCTACTTGAGAAAGGGTTGTTGGAGAGTTTCTTTTCAACAGCTTGAGTGTTTAGTATGGTACCCTTTGGGTGACATGCAACACATTCACTCTCAAGTCCAAGTCTTTAGTGCAGCATGAGTTACAAACAAAACTCAAAACACTTCTTCTTTAAAAGACTTCAAAACAAAGATCAAACTCTTTTTGTCCTCTGGGACCTTTAATCCTTCGAAACCATTTTCATAAGGAGAGTTTTGTTAACTCCCGGTTCTATCGCAAACAGTAAACGCCTAAGTCTCCGACGAGCGAGCTGCATACACCAACTGCTGGAACCGTTTGTTAACCTTACTCGGGTAAAACCTTTTGAACCAACTTGTGGTCCTTTTACCCCGAACTACGTTTGCTCTGATCTTTCACGCCGTGTGAAAGTACGTAGGCACGAGATGCAATATCTCAGCGAGCAACCTCCCATTTTTCACCCGTAGTTAGGCGAACTACGTTGACTCTGATTTCTCGTTCCAGACGGGAATACGTAGGCATAGAACTGTTGTGTTCTGCCGAGTCATTTTCTTTTCTCTTCAGACCAGACTTTTAGCGTAGATAGATAAAACCAACCCGTCAGATAAACACAACAAGCATGGATCCCATCGAGTACGATGGACGTGAGGGGTGCTAATACCTTCCCCTTGCGTAACCGACTCCCGAACCCAGACATGGTTGCGATGACCTTGTCTTATACCTTTTCGTCAGGTTTTTCCGATCGTTTCCTTTCCCTTTCTGTGGGATAAATAACGAAAGGTGGCGACTCTTCTGCTTTGCCGGCACCTTATTTTCGCGGTAGCGATAAGATGGTCTTTGCGTCACATTGAGAGAAGGGCTCAAAACTCAGATTTATCGACGAGTATGCCACGTACCTCTCTCAAGCAGAAAAAATTCTACATCTGGCAATATTATTATGGGGCAGGAGAATTATATCTCGACTGTTGAGATGAATCACGTCTAATTCTCTTGTGGGGAGAATAGATGATTGAATTGTGTAGAAGGTTCGTCTAATTCTCTTGTGGGGAGAATAGATGATTGAATTGTGTATAAAAAAATGAATTTAGATTAATATTTATAATTGAATTTAAAATTAAAAATGTTAATTAAATATATTGAAAAAAAGCTAAGTTCTTTGGATTATAATTGAATTTTTTTTATGATAATTGAATCCTTACACAAAGTTAATTAAAAAACAAATCAATATTATAATTGTAATTAAATTTGAAAAAGGGTTTTGATTAATCAAATTAGGATTTAATCAAAATTATGATTTAATTATTATTTGATATATTAAATTTATTAAAATAATATGCAATGGAAGCAAAGAAGCAAAGAGAAGTGAGGTTCATTATAAAGCTATACGGGCCTTGAATCAAAACCGTAACAACAACCCCTCTGAGAAGACCACAAAAACCCAGATTCAGATCAAATAAAAACTAGGTTAACCGCTCTCTCCTCAACTTACCATCTTCTCAATTCACTCAATGCACCGTTCGAATCCCATGACGATCGTCCCCCTCCGCCTTGCTATCATCTACTTCCGCACCGTTGACTCTCGCCATCAATCTCTCTCCGTCGACAAATGCTTTCATCCATGGATTCAGGATCTGAGATGAAAGTCTGATGTAACGCAGCACAAATGCATAAACGAAGTGAAGAAAAATTGCAAAAGGATAAAAGGATTGTATACCTCTGAGAAGTCGTAACGGGACGATATCAAAGATATGTCTTCTTCTCGCTTCCGTCTGTCTTCTTCTCGTCCATGTATGTATGCTTCTTCTATGTGAGTTTGCGTCTGCGATGTGTGTTTCAATTCTGCTTGTTATTGCTTTCCCTCATTCTTCTCAATTCTCGATCGCTCCCTGTTATCTGTTATGAACCACGTATGCTGTTTTAGATGTTGTTTTCACTCAATGCTTTGTTGTTTCCTTTGATGCTACAACACTGCTTCTGTTGTACTTGTGTTGTGATTTCTCTGTGGATTTTTAGTTTTTTGTACACTCATGATACTCATGATATGCCTGTGATAAATGCTTTTATATGAATCCTATTAGAATGCTCCCTGCGTATGTCTTGCAAAGCTGTGATTTCCCTGATGATGTATGTATCGCAAAATGGATTCTGATTCTGTATATGGGCAAAATGGTTGAATTTTTCTATGGTTTTTTTTTATATTGTTATGTACGAGTGTTTTTTCCTCTGCCTTTCACAATTAGAATGTCCTCTCCCAAACCGTGCGTATGTATCCTTTTATAGGTGATTCTCTATTTTTGAATGCTGATTTTGTATACTGGGGTTGTAAAATAACTTTCCGCTTTCGTACCGATGTCTGAGACATGTTTGGACCATGTCATACCATTGTTTTGGGAAGAAACACAATGTTGGGACATGTTTGGATGCTATCTAACTCTGCTGCTTTTGCAATCTGTTATAATTTCCATTTAATGTTCTGCATGGAATTACCTTGTTGTGTGTTGGTTTGCAGCCGACAACCAAGATCTATTGAAGAAACCGTCGGTAAAAGCAAGCGACATTACCGCAATCCGAAGTATGAAGGCTTATTTGGAAATCCCTTCAAGTGGAGAAAACAAAATATTTGCATGGAGGCACCAAGTCATTATGTTAGAAAACTAAAACGGTGATCTCATTTTTTTCTAGCTAGGCTAATGAATTTGTAATTTAGGAATCAATTCCATGTGGACTCGATGGATGGTGTCCTGTATCATCACGAATACTTATGTGCCAATTATGTTTACTTTGATCATAACAATTTTATGAACTTTGTTATGCTTTGATAAGAGAATTCAAAGTCATGGTAATAGAACGATAATAAATTTGAGAAACTTATCTTTTACAAAAGACGAGCCCCAGATTACCAGTGGCACTGACAAACGATGGCAATGCTTCTTAAATTAACAAAACATGGTTCAAAATGGTTGAATTCGGATTGGTAAAAAAAACGACGTAAAGATTCTTAGTCTTAACAAAGAAATCTCCACATTTTTCGATTAACAAAAGAGAAAAGTTCCAAGTGTGCTCCTCGTAAGCTAGTTGTCGATTTTTTGAAAAAAACGAGTTGTAATGCCTTTGTATTGCATAAAGTTGAATAATTCTTTTTAATGAATTTGTAGCAAACGGTTTCCTTTATGAATCTAGGTGGGCTTAAATTCTTGAAATGATTGAGTCTTCATTGATAAACCCAAAATGTAGTCACATAGATTGGCTTTGGTTTATGACTATGATTAAGATGTTGATTTGAACCATGACATTTTCATTTTGACTTTATGAAGAACATGAATATAGAAACCCATTAGTGTGCCTGGAATATGAAATTGAAATTGACGAATTTTACCATTCTTGGATTTTAATCATACGGAAATGTAATTATACCAGGACTCTTCTGAATAAGAAACTCTTATAGTTATGACTTTATTCATAACTTGCGGTAATACATAAAACTCCTGCCTGAACCACAAACTTTTTCCTGAAAGATATCTTGTCATGAACCTCGGATTTGATTTTTGTATTTGAATATTAGGAAATTAATCTTGCATTCCTTAAAAAAGAACTTTCTTGGGTCTTGAGATAAATGGCTTGAGTTGTAATGTTTTATATCTCGAATTTGTCATGCTTTAAATCCTTTGAAACAAATTCGGATAAAACTCCTCTTTCGGGCACTAGAAACTATCTCCGAACTCAAAACACGGTGATTATCAGCTACCAATCCAAAGTATTTCAAACCTAAATCCAAAGGTAGCAAATGATGATCTGACCCCTCTGGATGGGAGGAGGAGTCCTTCTTGAATTGAGCTCGACTCTTTGTATCGTTAACACGGACGAGAAATAAATGAGGACTATGCCTTGGTTCTTCGGCGAGCAAATAATGCAACCAGTACACCTGGTTGAGGGTATACTCAAAATCTGACTGAATAACCTTTGAGATCTTTGAAAGCGAATCCTGATTCAACAGTGAAAAAATAGAGATAATAAAGCCGGAAGATGGTTAGCCACGCAAGTACGGCCACACCAAGCGATGCACAGAGATGTGGGGTCTTAGGGTCGAAAATTAGGGTGCTAAAGATGCCCCTATTTAAGTTACTTCTATCCGAAGATACGGAGATTGAAACCTTTATCTCGAAGTGATAAGAGAGACTTAAATACAAACATTGCACGAACGTTTGGCCCTAAGATGCCACCAGATGCATATGATATGAGATGAGATGAAATGCAAGACAAAGGTCCTGTGAGAGAAAGACATCACAGGGGAGATAAAGGTCAACAAAGATCAGGCTCAACAAAGCGAGACTCCACGGGGAAAGATTATCGATTGACAATCACAAGGTATCTTTAAACATATCGTGAAGATTTTGTGACAAATTCTACTTGAAAACCTATTGCCAAGGTTAATCATAGTGATTTCGAGAGATATTAGCTGGAGAAATCTACTGTCGAGACTTGTAACTTTATTTTGAGAATACTTTTTGCCAAAGTGTCTACTGTTAAAACTTCTATGGAATCTACTGCCGAGATTCTACGTTGAAGTCTGCAGGAAATCTACTTCTGTCGAAATCTTCTGGAAATCTTTTGTCGAGACTTTCCAGGAAATGAAAAGAAAACACCTACTGCCGAGGTCTTCTTGAAATCTTCTTTCGAGACATGCCAGGAAAAAAGATACCTTTTGATAAATTGTTCAAAAGGATAATAAACCTCCCCACACTTCAAGATTGTATGCCAAGAACGGGTCTCATTTTCTTCTTTTACTTGAAAAGGGTAAAATAAACCTCCCCACGATTCAAGTTTGTATGCCATGAACGGGTCTCAGTTTCTTTTTTTACTGGAAAAGGGTAAAATAAACCTCCCCATGATTCAAGGTTGTATGCCATGAACGGGTCTCAGTTTCTTCTTTTACTTGAAAAGGGAAAAATAAACCTCCCCACAATTCAAGGTTGTATTCCATGAACGGGTCTCAGTTTCTTCTTGGAAAGGTGAATACTTATGAGCGTATCATCACAGGGATTGGAACTTCACTGAAGATTGCAGACTTCAGCGGGAATCCATAATTTACTGGAGATTATAAAACTTCATCGGGGATCTTCAGAAGAGATGTAGGCCGATTGATTGTCTTCTCAAATAAAGAGAGAGATTAATTGTAATAAACTTCACCAAACTTCTAGAAGGAGATGCCATTTGATGGAATTAAACTTGTGAAGGATTCACTGGGGAATACATTCTTGAGGAGTATCTTTGTTGTAGCTGTAAAACGTGTGAAACCTTTGTAGTGAAAATTCTCAAATAAAGAGAAATATCTTGTAAAGTCGTCAACAAACTTCTCTGACGGATTTCTGAAGAAATGCCATTTAATGAAAGACGAGTTGATAATCTCGATAAGTTCACTAGGGATGGAAAAATTATCTTGAGGAGACTGCCATTTGTCATCCAAATAGAAACCCTGATCAAAACAAGTTGCTCAAATAAAGAGGTCGCTTGTAGTCTAGGTATAAATTGCCGAGAAGATTTTGTAACATTGCAGGAGAAATATCTTATCTTCAATGGTGACCCTCATAAAGATTCTTCCTGAGGAGTCAAAGTGCAAAATAAATGCACGCTTAACCCAGGTTCAGAAGCCTGGAGACATCCAAAAATTGTGATTGTCAGGGACCAAAGTTCAATTCAGGAAGTAAGTGAAGAGAAACGGTCAAGTAAGACTCGATCCAACGAGGAATGAACTCAATTGGGGATTTAACTAAAGCAACTGTCTTCCACGAGGATCGAACTCTGTGGGGAATTAGAAATATTGTGCTCTTTCTGCTTAGGGCTGACGACTCTACTTGGAAGGAGAAGACGAACCCAGTCACTTGGGGGATAAACACGACCAAAGTGACAGGACAAACAAACACAAAGATGCAAAATGCACATGTCATGCTACACTATCTATATGTATATGCTATGCATATGCTTATGCTGACAAAACAGACGAACAGAGGCAACCGCAACTGAAATAAACATCCCGAAACAAACATCCGACCAATTTTCAAAGATAGAAGCACCACTAGGGATTGATAGAGAACCAAATATTGGATCACAGTCCTGCTTCAAGGCTTCAAAAAACTTCTCTGGATCTAAACTCCTCTTGGGGTATAACATCTTGTCTTTAATGAAACATTTGTCAAGATGAATCTAGTTACTCTGTTGAAGATGAGAATAAAGATCTATTGGGATCGGATCAAACTCATAATTGGAGAACTCCATGGATAAAATAAATATCCACTTCACTGGAGGGATTCATACTGGAGTTGTAGATGGAGATACCCAAGCTGAGGTCTCATAGGAGATAAAATAAATATCCACTTCAATGGGGAAGATGAGTCAACGCAGCTATTTGAATATGTCAGGGTCGAAATCTCATGGGGATGAAATAAGCATTCGCTTCGCTGGGGAAAATTAGTGTTGTAAGAAATCCGTTGAGGAGCGATATAGCACCCACTTCACGGGGAGGTGAGGTTTAAGAAGATTCATTGAGGATTAAAATGGCATCCACTTCACTGGGGAAGTGAAGTTAAGAAAAACACTGGGAATCCTTAGGTCGTCAGTTAGAGAATTCTTGCATTGAAAAGACTCATCGGAGAATTGCCATGACCACCTGAAGTAAAATTTACCGGGAACATGAGTGAAAAATATTGTGAAAACAAAGTAGTTTTATCTTGATGAATTGCGTAATAGTCGCCATTTGAACAACAGTTGTTGTGGATGAAATAATCCTCAATCCTTAAATGCCCCAAGTCATATGGTTTATGAGAAAGTCATCCTAAGAGGATTTTACAAAAACATGGCGTCCAATTGCTCCACTGTTTTCAAACTCTCTAGAGATTCGTCGAATCTCGACGTAACCACCCCTGATTAACTGTATAAAACTGATTCTTTGAAACTCACTCTTAAGAATGGTCAAACTTGTATAAATGAGTAACCTGGAAACAACTTGCCCCTGTTTAAGTTTATTCAAGTTTCAATATACCGAACTTATCGCTGAGGTTTATATGTAAACCTTCTAAATATCAAGCAAAGTTAACAAGTTAGAAATGTTAATTTCGACACTGTTAATGCAACATACATGTTTGTCTTGAAGTTTTTGAAAAAGACAACACAATAACTTATGACGAAATCACTAGTTAGGATTAATTTTTATAAGGCCAATACCAAATTGAGCTTAACTCATGGGAGTCAGGAAACTTTATCTCATCGGGCATGCTTTTGAAATAAACCTTACTTCAATTAGGACTTTTGAGGGTTGTATCAGGGCTTAGTTTATAATTTATGAAACAAAGGAATAAGGGTCAAAGTTTATTTGTACCCACCCATTTTTGTGATGTTCATTCCTCCTTTTTGAAAGTTCTAACTGAAAATTTCCCTACCCTAGGTTAAAGAAGAGGTTTTTTTATTTGGAAAAGAAAGAACATATCCTACAATCAAGGCTTAAAGGGTTAAAGAGGCATTAACTTCCATATATCTCCGGTGTTTGAGAGGTTTGAAACAATGTCTTACATCATCAGTAGAGTTTTATTCAAAAGCATACAACAAGAGATCTTGCGTTTTACTTCGTCATCCTCCCCCCAATTATTTGCCTAAGCAATGGATCAGGTAGCAT